TAGTTACTCATGTACAACATATGTTTCTGTAATTGGATGGACTAATTATAGAGCAAAAAACTGAAACATTACCTAATGAAATGTGAAACATTGGAAAATTATAAGAGACTTCAAGCTTCTTTGTAGCAAATATAATTCATCTTTTAAGATGTCTAGTGGAAATAATAAGGCATGTCTATTTATTAGGCGGTTGCTATTTTAGAGAATATTCTTCTCAAGTTATGATTCACCCTGTCTTAGATGTACCGCCACTGCATCAAATATATTTTTTTTTCTGAGTTTTTAGATTGTATTTTGTATAGTCTTGTACATTAATAATTGTTCAACATGTTACAATTTTTTTGTAGGTACTTCTTTAATTATTGAATTCTCTTTATCATAATACACAAATCCATACTTAATTCACATACATTCTCTTACTTTAAATATACCTGTCTTTAGGTGTGCATTAAATGTTTCGAAGCCGATTAATTAACCGAAGTACTACTAAATATGATAATAATGGATACTGGCCAAATTTTTTATTATTAGCTCATCTGATAACTCATATGGGTTAACAATAAACGCGTAGCTGAATGCACTACCTATGTTAATATTGTTTGAGAGTAAAAAAATGTGCTACCCAACTTCAGATTATCATTCTACTAAATATGCATCTTGTTTTGATGTATATTGTGTTGATATTTGTTAATAAGATTAGCAATGCTTACCACCTTGTTTTTGCGAAATAGATGATCTACTTTTTTTGAGTGTTTAAAAAGCTATTGTATGATAATTCATGCAGTCAATTGAGTTTTTATTGAAATACTGTTTCTTGTTTAACATATTACCGTTCTGGATCTTACTTAAAATATAAAATCATATGTGTAATAGTTAGTGAGCAGAAGCTTAACTTATTGTACCAAATAAGATTTGCACTAGTTGCTCAATTGATAATACTATTTACTATTGAGCTTGGACAAGAGGATTTTTCAAAAATAAAGACTCTATTAATAAATTTTAGAGATTTCACTGCTGCTTGGGGTAATTGGTGGTTGGATAGATTTTGTTTTAATCAAAAATGCCATTAATAATGCAATTTTCTACTTTTACTAATAGAACTCAAACTTGCCCAATCTCAAATTTAGTTAGATCACATTATATTTGATCCATAAATGGATGCAGTTTAAATTGAAATGGAAGCTCTGAAGATGAGCTAAAACAATAAAGAATTTCTGATGGTGCCCTAGAAGCTCGTGTAATACTAGAGATTTAAGGACAAATTGTGGATTTATTACATAAAGCATCACTTTCCCTTTTGGAGTCGCTGTTCAAACAGATGCTCAAAATATATTGACAGCTCTATTGAAACTTATGTATTCCATGCTAATATTTATCAAATCCTTCATAGCATTATCTATTTGGTCGACTTTTGATGAACCGAATTCACATTCTACTTTTATTTTCCATGCTCTGGATGAACCTTCCTTAAATACTTCGTATAAAAATTACCCAGTGCATTTAAATGCTGCTTTAAAGGGTGCATCGTAGGAGATCATTAAATTTTGCCTTCAAGGATTCAACTTATATCTAATGGTAGCTATCACGAGTCTAAACAAATATAGTCATACATTGATATTTTATAATATATGATATCTATTCCACAATTTTCCATAATACTTCTATGGCAGCATTTATAATTATTATACAGATATTTAGGAAACATTGTAGATAAAATATGTTGTTGATATATATAAGGTATAATACATCCTATTTTAATATGTTGTCTCCTTTCATTAATATGATTACATAGTTGAAAGCATTTTTTTAATTAACTTTTTCAATCATGTCATAATATTATCGATTTTGTCTTTGTTTAGTAATAAAGAACTTTAAAAGGGAAAGTGTCAATAAGGATCAGTCTTCAGGCAACAAATTAACCGATTTAAAATGTATCCAAAAGATTAGAAAAATATTCTAGCTTTCTATAATTACTAATCATCTTTATTAAAAAAATTTTTTAAATCTATATCTTTATGATTGGTATACTCTCTTAGAAAAATTAAACCTCCATATTCTTGAAATGCATGTATTTGAATCAAATACAGAATTATGAAATAGGTTTAAGTCTTGCATCTTAAGATGGAAAGCATATAGATTAGCTATATTTCTCAAGACTATATTATTTATTTAGTTGATGTCCTTATTTATATAAATAATTGAAATTATCCAATATTCTTACTTAATGATTAACTTTAAACCTTCTAATAATTCAACAATTTATGTCCTAATAATTCTTCAAAACTAGAAAATTATGGTTTGTTTGACTAAACTAAATGATTACCGCTGATCCAACAGGCATTTGTATTTTATAGTTTTCAAATTACACTCTATTCAGCGCCTTACAATCACAATCTGTTTGGCCATTGCATCCGAGATATTTTAACAAGTTGTAGTTGATTATATTTTATTTAATCTTCTTCTATGTATTCTATATTTTCTCAGCTAATTACTTTTATTTATATAGAAATTGAATATAATTTCTAATACAAAACATTGTATTTATACTACTATTCATGTCCTCTATTCCTTTTCAAATTCCATCCTACTCTAGTTTTCTAACAAACACTTTCTCTCATTTTCCTGGAACGATTACAACTTTACAAACCGATTAACATATCTTTATTAATTTAGTGTTTATTAGAGTTAACTTTAACTTAAATTAAGAAAAGATATTTTCTGTCTTAATTTTTAGTTCGAATACTCTAGTTGCAATAATTTAAATGGATTTTATTCTGTGATAATTTGCAGTTAGACTATTCTAATCATATATATCTTATAAAATAGTTTTGTTTGAATTCGACTTATCACTGCTTAATGAAGTTACCCAACACTATGTTTATGACTTGTACTAGTTTCTAAGCAGGTTAGAAATAAAAAATAAGTTAATATTTCATTAAATATAAATTATAAGAGAGATATGCTATATTTGAACAATATTTTAGATTACATGAACTAATATGTTTCAAAAAAAAGATAATTTTGAATAAATATTAATGTTGATTGAATGATATAAACTCTCTAAGAAAGGTAAACCTTTTATTCTTATTTATCAAACTCTCATATCAGGGATTTTATTATTTTCTTACATTTGTTTAAGCATGGCAACTCTTACTTCAAGAGATTGATCCAAAATTCAAAATCAAATTTTAGTCCGATATTTGAATTCAGTTTCTGAATATTGGACATCAAGCGATTGAAGAAAATAACAATTGTCGTATTTTGTACTATGAAATTAAGGATAAAAATTAGATAGAGAGTGATAATATCTACTTTCCGAGAATGTAAAGTGATAATTTAGATTCTATTTTCATCAATAATTGATTAGATTTGATTCGGGTCCTTTTCCTTGGGTGAGGTAAAAGTAATGGAAAAATCTCAAATCCTCCTTTTATCTTAGTATATAACATCATTTTATCATTGTATTGGAATACCTATTCCAGCCATTAATTTTAACTTCTCAAATTATCATAACTTATAGGAAAATTAATTAAGAATCATCAAATAGAAAAAGGTAGTAAAAATTCTTAGAGGCGAATAGAGTGGAGAAATGTAAGGTAAAAAAAAAGGTCGAGGAGAAGTAGTTAAGAATGATATATGATTTGCCCAGAAATTTTGGATAAGATAATTCTTTAGAATTTGGATATCGAAACATCAAGGAGGAGTTGTGATAACTATTAATAACAGTTTTACTTAGAATAAATTCATTGAAAATTAAATTGATTAATGAAAATTTGATGTGATTATGGAGAATGATAGTAAATAATGCTGCGATTTAGTGATAATGAATCTACATTTTATGAGGGTCTACTTCATTAATAAAATAAAATTAAAATAGAGCAAGTTTTGATTGTTTTGACACAAGGGTGAAAGGACATTCAAATTATTATTGTCTATGGGATATTTTTAAAGCATATTGAATAATAACTTGTATATTTACAATAGAATGGAATTGGGGAATTAAAAATGTTAGAAGAGGGAAATGAACTATTAATAATGTAAAATCAGCTTAATTTTAAATACTTTCCTTCTGAATTAAAGGTTAATGCACATTTGTTCATTTTATTAAAATAACTTTCAGGTTTGATTATGAATTTGTTAAAGAAATTTTTTATAAAAAGTGTTATTAAATTGGAATAACAATTAGCTTATCCGCCTAATAACAACAGTATTTTATTTCCTGAGAATAATATATGTCCATTCAATACTCATTATATTGATAGCAAGTATTAATTGACCTTTAAATAAGTAATTTCCAGTTGTGGATGTTTATTTATACTTTTTTAGGTCTTAATTATTATTTACACTTGATATCATAGCTGTTTATAAAACTTCTCAATTTGATGTTCTCTAGCTAATTATTTTTATAAGGAAAGAACGCTTAACCACTCAGCTCGATGTATCAATTATTATTTTGAGTTCCTTCTTTTAATTGCAGAATTCAGCTTTTGGTGATTCCATAGTATTAAACCTACCTATCCTAATTTTTTTAATATCATTGACCCAATTTGATATGCCTATTGAGAATTGATCTAAACACCTTAATTTTTGTATTTTCTATAAACTAACCAATAGAATTAATTTAAATGATTATTCAAATTTAGCTTAAAATCTTAATAAGCTGTAGTTTAATCTAAATAACATTTCATGCTTTAACATCTCATAAACTTATATTATAAACATAACGACTGGATGCTAATGTAGTAGCATCTGGGGAAAAAATTCTGCATAAATAACATTTGCTTAACATTTGATGCAAAACATCTCTAATGAAAGGCAACACCCCTTAGACTTTATTTTCTTTTTATCAGTAGAAGCCAATCTCATTTATAATTAATTGTATTAATTATGATAATTTTCTAGTTAATATGTTATTCTTAATTAAATATAATGAAATTTGATAATTTAAAGGAAATATTAATCGAATATTAAGATATTTAAATTCATTTTTTAATTATTCTATGGCTGAAGGTTCTCTATTCGAAATTTTATCTTGGTCCAAGTAAATTTAGGAATCAACATACAATTTAATTATTGAAATCTTAAAAAGAGAGAATATTTCTGATTGCTAAGGATTTCTTTAAGAAAAATGTAATCAATGGCTCCTTTAATAATATATTGAGAAAGAAAATTTATCCCATATTGAAAAGTAAGAGAGATTGAAGAATATAGAAAAAAATATTGGAATACTTTTAAATATCCTAAAAAATATTTAAAAGCTGGATTTCAATAACAAGAATTATTCTATAAAAGAAAATATAAAACAATAAAAGAAAATAATATCAGACATATACGGAATACACTCAATAGTTGAATTGTTAAAATTTTTCGTCCGTCTAACAGCTACGGATAGCAAATTTATTTAATGTGGATCCAATTCACTAAATTTACTAATAAATATGAACATCGATTTGAAAGAATAAAACTTTGAATATATAAAGATTAAAAATACTTCTTTAATTGGAGCTAATTTTGTAAGATGCAATTTAAGTGGATCAGAATTTAATAATGTTAATATAAGTGGAATCAATTTGAATGGAGCATAATTATTTTATTGCAAATGGAAAAATATTGAAATAGATTAATTATAGTTAGTAAATGGTCATACCAGAAAAGTTATTAAAGTTTGCTTTTCTCCTGATGGCACTAAGTTAATATCTGGAGATTGTGGCACAAATGTTAATTTATTGGATATGAAAACAGGAAAGATAAAATCTTTTCTAAGAAAGTAACGCTTTGCAATAGCAATTTGCTTATCACCTGATTGTAAAATATTAGCATCATGCGGTAATTCATATGTGAATTTCTGGAATCTTACAACAGGGAGAAAAATATCAACATTAAATTGTTTTACTGGAGAGATCTAGTCAGCATGCTTTTCTCCTGATGGCACTATATTAGCATTAGGGAGTTTTGCTAATACTATTTGGTTATGGGATGTTAAAATACGAAAAAAACAATCTTTATTTACTGCTCATAATGGTCGTGTTTCTTCAATTTGCTTTTCTCCTAATGGCAATACTTTAGCATCTGGAAGTCATGATTAAACTATTCGCTTTTGGGATATTGAAACAGGACAAAAAAAATCTTAATTAAATAATAGTCATAGAGTTTATTCAATTTGCTTTTCTCCCGATGGCACTACATTAGCCTCTAGGAATGAGGGTACTCTTCTTTTATTGAATATTGAGACAGGACAACAAAAGTCTTTAATAAAACTTGATTATCATTATGAATGTTCATTTTGCTTTTCTCCTGATGGTAATACATTAGCATCTGGGGGTTCTGATACTATTGGTTTATGGGATGTTAAAACAGGACAGCTAAAATCATAATTAGAAGGTCATAATGGTTGTGTTTATTCAATTTGCTTTTCTCCTGATGCTACCATATTAGCATATGGTGTAGAAAAGTAATATCGGTTCTATGAATATGATTGGTAAGATTAACAGAAGGGAAATAATTCTATACGGTTATGGGATATTAAAACAATACAACAAAAATCTTAATTAATAGACTAACCTCGAGTGGTTTATTCAGTAAGCTTTTCTCCTGATGGTACAACTTTAGCATCTTTGAGTTATAAAACAATTTTTTTATGGGATGTAAAAACAGGGAAATAAAAATCAAACTTCCCTCTTTCTGATGATGATGTTCCCTTTATAATATGCTTTTCTCCTAATGGTACTGAAATAACATCATGTAGTAAATCCAGAATTCATTTTTTTGATGTTAGAACAGGAGAAGTAAAATATAGATGTACTTATAATGAGGAGAATCCAATTTGCATTTCTCCTCAGGGTACAACATTAGCATAAGTGTATTGGGATAATTCAATTATTTTAAAAGAATTGAAAACAGGAAAAGAAATATCTAATTTGATTGGTCATAAGGAAAAAGTTACATCTTTGTGTTTTTCTCCTGATGGTAAAAAATTAGCTTCTGGTAGTGAAGATAATACTATTCGTTTTTGGGCAATTAAAAATCAAAAACAAAAATCAATATTAAATGGTCATACTGGTTCTGTGATATCAATATGTTTTTCCCCTAATGGCATAAAATTAGCCTCTGGTAGTAAAGATAATTCGATTTGCTTATGGGATGTTAAAACAGGACAACAAAGATTTTAATTAAATGGTCATACAAAAGTAGTTAAGTCAGTATGTTTTTCTCCAGATGGTTATACATTAGCATCTGGGAGTTTTGATCAAACTATTCGTTTATGGAATGTTGAAACAGGACAAAAAAGATTTTAATTAAATGGTCATAGTAAAGAAGTTACATCTCTATGTTTTTCTCCAGATGGCACCATTTTAGCATCTGGGAGTTTTGATGAAACTGTTCGTTTATGGGAAATTGAACCACAATAAAAATCTTAATTAAATGGACATATTAAAGAGGTAACATCAATTTGCTTTTCTTCTGATGGAACTATATTAGCATCTGGTAGTTAAGATAACTCGATTCTTTTTTGGGATATTAAAACAGGACACCAAATATTTCAGGTAAATGGTCATGATAGTTCTGTGAATTCGATATGCTTTTCTCCTGATGACGCCACATTAGCATCAGGTAGTAATGATAAAACGATTCGTTTATGGGAAGTTAAAACAGGAAAACAAAAGCTATAATTAAATGGTCATACTAGAACAGTTATGTAGGTTTGTTTTTCTCCTGATGGTGCTAAATTAGCATCTTGTAGTGGAGATAAAACTATTCGTTTATGGGATGTTAATAAAGGATAACAAATATCAATATTAAATGGTCATAGTACTTATGTTGCATCGATATGCTTTTCATCTGATAATACTTTATTGGCATCAGGTAGCGGAGATAAATTGATTTTGCTATGGAATGCTAAAACTGGACAACAAATATCTTTATTAAAAGGTCATACCGGTGGAGTTTTTTCTGTATGCTTTTCTCCTGATGGCATCACGTTAGCATCAGGAGGAGAAGACAATTCTATTAGGTTTTGGGATCTCAAAACAGGACTATAAAAAATGTAATTCAATGGCCACAGTGATTGTGTTACTTCAATATGCTTTTCTCCTGATGGTACTACATTGGCATCTGGAAGTTAAGATAATTCTATTCGTTTAACGAATGCTAAAACAGGATAACAAAATTCTTAATTTAATGGACATAGCAATTGGATTTCATCAGTATGCTTTTCTCCTGAAGGCACTACATTAGCAACAGGTAGCAAAGACAACTCTATTCGTTTATGGAATGTAAAAATAAGATAATAAATATCTTAATTAAATGCTCCTACTTGTAGCGTTTAATCCGTATGCTTATTACCTGATGGTACTACATTAGCATCCAGTAATTATGAGTAAGGTATTTGTTTATGGGATTTTACAAAACACCAACAAATAAAAGATTCAGATAAATCATTTAATGAACTGTTAGGTAAATATAAAACATTACTTTAAAATAATTCTCTACCAATGTTTTAGTAGTGTGGTATACATATTTATTATTTTTAGCTTATCCAATTACAATAACTCTGTTATCATAAAAACTTTCTTTTATAGCAGAAAGTGCTATGATGTTAAGAGGAGAATTCATAAATCATCGATAAATGGATTTAAGAACGCTATTTGAATAGAAGGGAGGGATTTTTTTGGAAAAGAAACTATAAACAACTTTATAAAATTGAATAAATATCATTTAGAACATTAAATAAATCTATTGAATTTGTATTTTTAATTATAATTAATCATTTTTACACTGATATTTTGAGTTAAAAGTAAATTTGTTGATTAAATGAATACTTATTACTTATATTTATTGTTTTGTTTTTACAATAGCGTTGAATGATGTTAATACAGAGTCTTGGGTTGCACATGCTAACTTGGAAAATTACCAGAATTTCTATTGTAGTGATATGGTAATTATTCAAAATTCAGGCAGTAGAGAAAGACAAATCCTACTTCTTTTTTTTCAAAACTTAAAAGTAATTTTATCCTTTCAAAAAATTAATAGGATCTTAATAATAAATTACAGTTGAATGTCTATATTTTTAACGCACTGATTAATGTGATTAAGGCATGAGAATAAATACAGATTTTAAATCAGTACACTCTAGATGAGGCATTGTATAAAAAACTCCTGATTGAATTGATAAGTCAAAATATTTATCCTATTAATGGGGGCTGTAGAACTAAATATTTAAGAATGTGAAACATATCAAATGCCTTTTGAATGATAGATAATTTAAGTTATCATATTAAACAATGGCTGATCATTGTATATTTAATTAATTATTTAACTGAAAATTTGTGTTGTATTTGTCTAAAGCAGCAAATTAAAGCTTAAAAATAATGCTGCAGAAATTGTCATCACAGAAAAGATCAACTTAATTATTTATGATATACCTGACCGTCTTTGTATTTCATAAAAGGAAAATCTTAAATAACCATCAAATTACCTTTCTTATCTTTAAAATAAAAAAAATGAATTGGTTGAATATTACTTTTGAGTTCCAAACAAATTAAAACCTTTATTAAAACTTTATTTAATTAATTCAAAAAATTATAAAGAATCAACTAATATTAGTACCTTAATGATTTATTATGAAAAGGTTATTGATTAAATATAAATCCAATCAATAAATAGATTTCCATCAAAAATTAGTTGTTTAATTAATTTTTAATCTACCTCTCCTCCAGATAAAATAATTTCGCACTACTGGTTAGAAAATATTTACATGTAAAGTATTCACATCCTGTTAAATCAGATGAGATTATCATTTGTTAAATTTATCCTGAAAATACAATTAATAATATCATAACAATTGGTTTCAACATCAAACTAAACTTGAAAGCCTAATTTGTAAGTAAATTTCTTTTGGCAATCAGAAGAAATATCTAGATTTTCCTTTGAATAAACTTGTTAAATGAAACAATATTCACAACTTTCAATTCTGTTTTAACTTGAGAATAGAATCTTCTTCTTCTTCCCTAATGATATGACAAATTTTAGAACCAAAATTTTCGTGTAAATAATTAGTATAGATTGCAATGTTCGATTTTTTTTTTAAATCGATATTCATTATTCTTTCAAACAGATACCTGTATTTATTTAAATACGATTAATTTATTATTTAATATGATGGGAAAATTAGTATTTATGATCAAATAAAATTAAACTTAAATCACAGAAATGAAGATTTTCTTTTATGTAATTTAATACGAGTATTTCATATATTTTGAATTTTTAGAATACAGTAATTCAATTATATAATTTTTTCTGATTCTAGTATAAGCATTTTTTAATTTGAATAATTTCATATTTATTTTAATATTCTGATTAATTATCATTTAAAATTGCTTCTCATACATCAAAAGTTTACACAAAGATCAAAACTTCATAGTGGATTAATTTTGAAAAAATATTGCTCATTTATACTTCTCATTTAACAAATACATGTTAATTCCTTCTAATATGCAAAAGAAGATACTTGAATATTTTTTTACCTATATTCTGAAATTTAGGAGATGTCACTTCAATGAGCTAAGTATGCCCTCTGAAACTTTTTAGTTTTCTCAATAACAGAATATTGAAAAACAATTCATTTTTTTTTGTTTCTTATATGAATAATCATGAATTATGATTCTTCATCTCAAATACTGCTAGTAGATCAAAATAAATTTCTTTATTAAAAGTAGCCTTCTCTGCCTGAATTCTATAAATATTTAAAAGTTTCCTCTTTACTCCTAAAAATACTTATCCTTCAAACAATATTATCATTAGAGAATTTCATTTAAACAATATAAATTTCATCAATATTAAGAAAAAGATTTGCTCAAATAGAGTTTGAATAATTATGTTATTTATTCAAATGTATTTATTAACATCCTCGAGTCTAAATAAACAGTTATTATGGTTATATTAAAGGAAAGTTGGTCTTAGTTATCATAAATTTATTAAATTGAAATCAAAATTCCCATTTTTAATTTTACTACTTGCAATTTACTTTTCATTATCATTGAATTTAAAGGATTAATAGATGAATAAAATATTCCAATTAAGTATAAAAATAATAAAAAATTCATGTTTTGCTTCAGCTTGATAATAATAAATAAGTTTCAATTCCCTTTGTATCACTCTTCTATTAGCTTTTTTGATGGGGTTGGGATGAAAATTAAGTTAGAGACTTATATGAGCAGTGTGCTGATGAATCTTCAGCTATAAGAAAAAGGAATTAAGAAAGTTTAGAGTATACATAGTGAAAACTCTAAGAAAGCTTTCCAATTCAGTTCTTGTTATATAATTAATGCCACAGCCGATAGAAAAACATAAGGCCATATAAAACTTGCGTTTATCAGTCCGTAATATGCAATTTTTCAAGAAGAAACCTTACGTGCTTTGCTTAGGGACACAAGGTAAGAGCTGTACCTTAAAAACAAATTCTACTGAATCTAATCTACTAAATTGGCCAAAAACTGGACAAAAAAAATTAATTTCATTAGGATCAATTTTGAGAGATTCTGAAATTATTTAGGATAGTAATTGTGGAATTTGTTGGTTTATCAATAGTAATTCCTAATAATTGATATTGAATTTAAAACTTCTTCTCCTAATCTCTTTATGTAGACATTTAGCTTGCAAATATGAATTTCGTCATGCCCAACTGATCATGAAATAATTCAATACTTTTGAAGAAGATCATCCACAAGAGTTGATTAATTTTCCATTCAATATCAATAATCTCAAGACTTCTACAATAATACAATGATATCAAAAAATTTACAATCAATGAAACTTAAGTTCTGATCTCAATTATGACTGACAATAAGTAGTCTCATTATTAATCCTCTCAAAATAGATCCCTTAATCCATAAAACTTAAAGTATAAAGAAATATATAATATGTATAATTCTTTATTCTTTCTTCAAAAATTTTACCTGGGCATTCTTGATATTTTTTCTTAATAATTACAACCTTTCTAAATTTATATTTAATTTTAATTCTATAATTGATTTTGATACTTTTACTTTTAATCAATGTCAAAGGTTTCCAGGATTACATGAGAACTTTTTGATTAATTAAGTCGATAAAATCAACATTCATCTATTTCCATTCAAATTAGAGATACATTATAATAAACAAAACAAAAACAAGCAAGATTCTTCTTCTAAGACTTTTAGGCTATGCATCTAATTCTAATGATACATGTGCAAATATTCAAATGTTAACTGTTCTAATCATTTTTATAATAATTATCTACTATATGTTTATCATACAGATAGATATTTTAAGAATTCAATCAGCATAGAAATGAAATCAGAAAGCTGAACATGTTTATTGAGGAAAAGTAGGAGTTTATGGTTGCTGAATGGGTTTTTCAGATTCCTAGAATCTTTACAAGTGACTTCTATCTCAAATAACATTTAGCACATAATTTCTAGAAAAGAAATGAGATAGTTGAGATGAAAGTTATGTGTTGGATTTTGTTTAATATATCTGATTAGAATTAATAATACAGATTCTATTTTTATTATAGTTATATATTAATTTACAGCATTAAAATTGAAAAACAAATCTAAGTTAATCGTTTATTATATCAATGCAATCTGAATTTGCATCTTTAAAAAAATAGATACTCTTGCAAGAGAGTCTATTATAATTTTAAACTTAAAAACTATTCTATTATATTCCATTATTGCTGATTCTATTTTTTTCTAATCGTATCCCTAAAGTCTAATTAGTATACTTCACATAGACAAGTTTACAATTGAAATTAATTTGAAATAAATATCCCATATTTTTGCAAAAAATTGTTTTGATAGTTAATTTATATAATCAAATAGCAATTATAAATTAATGAAAAATTAAAATTAGATCCTTTGTTACCTAAACAACATCCACCAGAACTCTATAAAATTTGAAGTATAATTCAACAAATTTAGAATTTTTACATCTTATCAATTTTGATTCTTTAAATTAGACAGCTATTAATTTTTTCTTTAATTTATGTTGATATAGTAATATTTAATACAATCTTTTTTAATTGGGGCATTGGATATCGAGAACTATATTCTTCTTTTTTTGATTTTCTCCTATTATTACATATTAAGGAAAAACATTACTATAAGTAATGATTGATGCAAAAGAGTTATTAATAATACGTACAATAGATTCAAATGTTGGAATACAAAGTTTTAATTCGTATTAGAATGTATAAAAAATTATTTTTATTAGAATTCTATTATGATATTTATTGCAAGCTAAAATAAAATAAAATCTTTAATTATTCATAAAATATTTTATGGAGGAACTTAAATGTTAATTTAAAGCTCATAAGGATCATCCAATTATAGGATTTTGCACTAATATGAACTGTTTAACGAGTACATCGTTTTGTTTTAAATGTCTACCTAAATTACATTTGGATCACCATAATGACTGTTTAGAATTCAACCCCTTAAGGGTCTTAATAAATGAACATTTGCAAACACATAATTAATTGGTTAACTTGCAAAATGAGTTGATAGTAGGAATTCAAAAATATTAAACAAAAATGGTTCAATATAATTAAAGATTAGAGGAGATGGATAACCATTTAAAAAATAAATCGTATCTAACTGTTAAATAATTCATTCCCTTCATAAAATATTTGTAATGGTAGGGAACTGAAAAGAAACAAAGTAATATTAATTTTTGATTTAAGGATTTTTGATAATGGAATTGATTAAAATTATTGAAACATTAAAAGCATTAACAAAAGATTAATTAAGTGTGTAATAAAAGAGAAGCAATACTACAAACGATAAATAAGAGACAGGATTGCAAAGCGGATTATGTAAAGATTAAAAAGCTTAAAAACTCTATCAAAAAGATTAATGCAAAAGATAGAAAATTTTAGAGAGAGAATTACTCAATAACCAATAGTAGTTATAAGCATTAAAATTTGATGATGCTTTAAAATAAAATAATAAAGTTGACAGGGAATTTCATTTTCCAGCTGAAAAAGTAAACTTTAATTTCTTTTAAATTGGTAATTCTTTAAATAATTTGAATTTTTTTTTTGAAGCCATTGAGTGTTATGATTTAGCTTTAGAGATAAATCCCAATAATAGTGATGCTTTTAATCTTAAAGGTAATAAATTCTTTATAATAAATATTATTGAGGCAATTCATTACACAATTTGAATCTTTTTGAGGAAGCTATTGAATATTATGATAAATCTATATAGATCAATCCGAATGATTGTAATGCATTTTATAATAAGGGTAAATGAATTATTATATATATACTCTTTTTAGGTTTATCATTATAAAATTTGAGTCGTTATTAAGAAGCCATCTCTTGTTATGATAAAGCTATAGCGTTGAATCCTGCTGATTATGATGCTTACATAAATAAGGGTAAATGAGCTAGTTCTATTGATGTTATTTAGGTTTAATATTAAATGAATTTAATCGCTACTAGGAAGCTATTGAGTGCTACGATAAAGCCTTATAAATCAATGCTAATAATTATGAGGCCTTTAAAAATAAGGGTATTCTTACTATTCACTATTTATTTTAAATAGGCATAACATTACACAATCTTGATTGCTATGATAAAGCCATAGAGTGCTATGATAATGTGTTATAGAGAAATCCTAATGATTATGATACACTTATTAATAAGGGTATTAAGTTCTTTAAAATATCTTTCCATTAGGACTCTCATTACTTAATTTAAATCGTTACTTAGAAGCCATAAGTTGCTATGATTAAGTTTTATGGATTAATCCTGCAGATTGTGATGCATTGAATCTAAAGGGTATTGAGTTCTTAACTTGCGCATTAATTTAGGTTTATCATTAAACAATTTAAATTATTATGAAGAAGCTATAGTTTGTTATGATAATGCTTTGATGATCAATCCAAGTGATTAGAATGCCCTTATAAATAAAGGTTAATCACTACTTAAATTAATGTAGGAAATTCATTACATGATTAGGGATGCTATGAGTAAGCTATAGCTTGCTATGATAACGTTTTATAGATCAATCCTCATGATTAAGATGCACTCAATCTTAAAGGTCATGAGTTCTAAATTATATTTTTTATTTAGGCATATCATTACATGATTTCAACCGTTATTCCGAGGCAATAGAGTGCTTTGATCAAACTTTGACAATTGATCCAAATGATTTTGATGCTTTCAATCTTAAGGGTAAGTGAGTTCTTAATTTATAATTCTCTAGGTCTATCATTACACTATTTGGATATTTATAAGGAAACAATTAAATTTTACGATTCGGCTTTAAAGCGTAATCCAAATCCTAATTATATGAAAAGTAAAGGTAGCATGCTCTATATTTGTTTTAGCTGATGCATTATTTAAAATTGGAAAAAGGGAAGAATCTAAGGAATGGTACATAAATGCCAGAAATGCTGGGTTTGATAAAGATATTATCGATAATATCATGAAGGTATTTATATGAAATCCATTAATAATAACATAAATTAATTTTATTCCTCAATGAATTTATAGAAATTTTAAATAACTATCGTTATTTTCAAGAATTTAACCTCATAATATTAATAATGTCAGTTTAGATGCCGTTCTTACTCTCAAAGGTACTTTTTGAATCTGTATATTATTGAGGAAAAAAAACGAGCACCATCCATTTCACATTTTACATTAATATATTTAGTTTTTTAAATTATTTATTGATGCTATTATTCTAAAAATTAAATATCTATTCCTTCTAATACTATTAAACTCCAATCTTTTATATTACAATCCATTTTTATTCTATTCTTATTCTTCTATTATTAAAATGAATTTATACCACAAGATACAATTCTACATTATTATTAATTAAAATGAAATCCATATAAAGAACTTAGATGATCTTTAATTTTTTACTAACATACCCATTCATCCTTCTTCATCCAAAACATAATAGTGAATCATCACTTTCTGATACAATTAAACTATCATTATTATTTAACATTAAACAAAAGTTATAGCCTCTATGTTCATTTAATATTTATTAAGAAATCCATTAATTATTTGAATTATATTACCATATTATGATAGATTTATCAACACTCTCAAATATAGACTAATTTGATTATTCATAAAGTTTAGAGTATACCATTAACATTATGTTCCGTAAGCTTTTAATTCATTTTGGTCCTTCCTTGACAGAATTAAAATGCTTTAATTTATAAATCACAANTAGTTTGTTATGATAATGCTTTGATGATCAATCCAAGTGATTAGAATGCCCTTATAAATAAAGGTTAATCACTACTTAAATTAATGTAGGAAATTCATTACATGATTAGGGATGCTATGAGTAAGCTATAGCTTGCTATGATAACGTTTTATAGATCAATCCTCATGATTAAGATGCACTCAATCTTAAAGGTCATGAGTTCTAAATTATATTTTTTATTTAGGCATATCATTACATGATTTCAACCGTTATTCCGAGGCAATAGAGTGCTTTGATCAAACTTTGACAATTGATCCAAATGATTTTGATGCTTTCAATCTTAAGGGTAAGTGAGTTCTTAATTTATAATTCTCTAGGTCTATCATTACACTATTTGGATATTTATAAGGAAACAATTAAATTTTACGATTCGGCTTTAAAGCGTAATCCAAATCCTAATTATATGAAAAGTAAAGGTAGCATGCTCTATATTTGTTTTAGCTGATGCATTATTTAAAATTGGAAAAAGGGAAGAATCTAAGGAATGGTACATAAATGCCAGAAATGCTGGGTTTGATAAAGATATTATCGATAATATCATGAAGGTATTTATATGAAATCCATTAATAATAACATAAATTAATTTTATTCCTCAATGAATTTATAGAAATTTTAAATAACTATCGTTATTTTCAAGAATTTAACCTCATAATATTAATAATGTCAGTTTAGATGCCGTTCTTACTCTCAAAGGTACTTTTTGAATCTGTATATTATTGAGGAAAAAAAACGAGCACCATCCATTTCACATTTTACATTAATATATTTAGTTTTTTAAATTATTTATTGATGCTATTATTCTAAAAATTAAATATCTATTCTTTCTAATACTATTAAACTCCAATCTTTTATATTACAATCCATTTTTATTCTATTCTTATTCTTCTATTATTAAAATGAATTTATACCACAAGATACAATTCTACATTATTATTAATTAAAATGAAATCCATATAAAGAACTTAGATGATCTTTAATTTTTTACTAACATACCCATTCATCCTTCTTCATCCAAAACATAATAGTGAATCATCACTTTCTGATACAATTAAACTATCATTATTATTTAACATTAAACAAAAGTTATAGCCTCTATGTTCATTTAATATTTATTAAGAAATCCATTAATTATTTGAATTATATTACCATATTATGATAGATTTATCAACACTCTCAAATATAGACTAATTTGATTATTCATAAAGTTTAGAGTATACCATTAACATTATGTTCCGTAAGCTTTTAATTCATTTTGGTCCTTCCTTGACAGAATTAAAATGCTTTAATTTATAAATCACAATTTTAATAAATAGTTATTGCATTACAAAAGTTAGATTGTAAAATTGAAAATTTGATATTATTTTATAAGTGAATTGTTTGACATTTAATTAAATTTTTTTTTGATTGAATCAATTGATTTGACTAGATATTTAGATTTTAGGTTTACTTTTTCTCTTCTAAAAATTTTCATTCAATTTAATCTAATTGTTAATTTTAAATTGATTAATGGTGATATGTCTTTTTATAATTATTAAGCAAGGTTTAAATTATCAAATATATTTTATGATAAATTAAAGATTATGTAACATTGTCTTTTCATAATGAACATTCAATGAATCAGAACTATAATTAAGAAGTGCACCTAAATAAGTGTCGAGTTTATTCAATAAAGACTTTTAAATTGATTAATGAAAAATATTACTTCAATTCAATTTTAAACAGCTTGAAACCATCTCACTAGCTATTATTGATAACCATTATTTTATGGCAAATTATTTTCATTTTTCAATGAATTTATTAATCATAATTTACTATGAGTACATCCTATTCATTATATAAATAACCTAGTTAGAATTAATAATAATGTTTGATGTATAAATCATGCGTCATTGTCGACGGCCTCTCATCTTTGTAAGGTCGACACTTACTTTACAGGAGTGTCTAAACATTGTCTGTTTGTCTGCCGCCCAGGCACATAGGGGACATATCATCAAAGGGTCAATAGAAATTCTAGCGAATCCTACTGCCTTTAATAATTTGTTCATAGTCTATAGCATCTTTTTCATTTCTTAAAGAGGGTTTTAGAACATATGAAAATAACTTACTCTATCACCTTTCTCAAGCATTATAAGTTCTGCCATAATGTATTTTTCAGGATAAAACATGTCAGAGTAGATTATAATGTCGGATCCTATATAGGGTTTGGGGTTTGGGTTTGGGTTTGGGGTTTGGGTTTGGGTTTGGGGTTGGGTTTGGGTTTGGGTTTGGGTTTGGGT